CTCCTGAACCCAGCCACCACCAGTCTCCGATCCTTCACCCTCTGGTAAGAGTCTCTTAGGAGCCTTGAAAACTCCTTCTTAGAAACCAAGAAGGAGTGGCTCACTGCCAACAGATCTCCTGTAACACCAGAGAAATCTGCCTTCAAGGGTCCGAAGAAACTCACATCCAGAGGTTGAAGGATGTGAGACGTATGTGGTGGCAGGCACAAGAGAATGACCCCCCCCTCCCTCTGTGCCGCCCGGACCAGCTCTGGATCCAGGTGGGATTGATGTCCGTCCATGATGAGCAGCAGCGGGCGCTCCTGCACGGCGAACTTCAGGAAATGCCCGACAAACCACTTCCTAAACAGCTCACTGTCAATGTACCCTGCTGGCGACTTCCCGTAGAGGGCATCGGGAACCCGTTCCTTGTTATAGGGGCCCCCTGGATATCCCCCCTTGTAGACGATGAATGTGGGGACATCCTCCCCAGCCACGTTGAGGCAGGCCAGGACGGTGATGTGGTCTCTGGTTCCCTGGGCCTGCCTGTAAGCATGTTTAGTCCCCCGGGGCACGATGACCTTCCTTCTTGTAGAGTCCAGCTGAAACCCCGTCTCGTCGCAGTTGTATATCTGACGTGGTTTCTCCCTCAACCCGTGCTCCTCCAGGGTGGTGGTGAGGAGCCCGAAATACTCCTCAATTGGCCCCCTCTTGGCACAGGATGCCCTCCCACGGTCAATGATGTCTGGGGTCCGGGAAGTAAGGCGATGGTGTTGCCGCTCCCGGAAGTTTATCCACCACGTCTGGCCAAGCACGGTTCTTTGTGCTTCCCGGTGGCGGAGGTTGTAAATGGCCAGAGCGTGGGCCAGGACCTGAGGCTTCGTCAGTGGAAACCCGTGACTGTCAGAATACAAACCGTACTCCACCAGGGAATCCTCATCTTCAAGGGTGAGGAGTGTCCTCTGACCATAGACACAGTCAGAGGACACCCTTCCACTGACCCGGTCACTCAGGCTGGACTTAGGGACCCCAAACTGCTGGGCTGCCTGCCGTAGAGAAAGCCTGCCTGCTTTCACCTCCTGTAGGGCCTCTGCCATGGCCTCCTGGGTCCACTTCCTCGTCTTCCTCTCCCTCTTCCTGACTTGCCGCATGTTTGGCATCTGCAAATACACATTTATTTTGGCACAGTAAGAAATTAAATTCAAAATTAGTTTTAAAGCCACATTACATGTCTCAATAAATTGAATAATTCTATAAATTGCCAGATTACCATGTATAGACGCATGCATATTTAACACATGCATAGACATAAATATATTTACCTTAAACCATTGCAGATTTACAATTTCTATATACATCTCTTATTTTCTTGATCCTCCTGTAAAGGAAAAAAAACTCACACAGACACACATTACCAACCTTTCTTTCTTTCAAGGTTCTTCCTGTCTTTTCTGCTTATTGCTGTCTTCTTTCTGTTCTTTTCTGCTTCTTTGAGTCTGCTTTCCACTGTTTTTCTGCTTATTGCTGTCTTCTTTCTGTTCTTTTCGTCTTTCTGTTCTTTTCTGCTTATTGCTGTCTCCCTTTGCCTCTCTTCTCTTCCTTCTCTCTCTCTGTTCTCTATCTTTTCAGGCAGGAACATAAACCACAAGAGAGAAATTTGAGTCAAAAACATTACATTTTGGTTAACCTTATATACTGTATAACATAGCACTGTATTATATTGGAGGTGTATCTACATAAACAATAGTTCTAATCATAAGAGCCACTGCTGGCTTTCAATAAATACAGACAGTCTCTCTCACTCTCAAACACACACACACACACACACACACACACACACACACACACACACACACACACACACACCTATTTGCATAATTTATCAGATCATTGTGCATTAATATACTTGATGTAGCCTGGCTTATGATAAACAAGAAAAACATTTTATTTTACATGTCTGCTGTTATGTTTCAGAGCTAAGACCAAACAAACAGCTGCCTACCTTTAACTCGCGCTACGATTCTTTTTTTCGTTTTTCCTGGGGCCACAACTTTTTTTTTTTCAGACACATTTCTGCCTCCCTCCCCTCGACTACAGATTATGTCACACATCAATGCTATATTTTCATTGGCTAGACAAAGTAGTGTAAAGCCAGCTACAAACTACACTCGTATGCTAACTCATATTAGCAATACGGAGAAAATACAGAGACACTTTTCAGAGTAAAGAGCGTCGCCCGAGCTTTCTTTCTGCTTTCTCTCATCAAAGTCACTTTCCTATAGTATTTAGACATGTAAACCTCCATATATATTCATTAAATTTGACACGTAGATTATTTGATATGTATGAATTAATATTACTTACGTTTGGATGGCGATCGCCGAAGAAAATGACAGCGAAATGACCGGAACGTGCGTCACGACGGAATTGTTCGAGACAGGCCAATAGCAGCTAGCGCCGTCCGAGGCAGGCCACCGTTACGTTAGCTGTCCTCGTGAATGCTGCATTGTTTAGTGTTTCATTAATGTGTCAAACCTTCTCATCGAGAGTCTTTGGTCGAAACACACCGGATTCCACGATAGAAGCTATGTCCCACGTATGTCCCGCGTAGGCTAGACCGTGCGGTCTACGAAATGAGACGGCCTACACTACAGAGGACTTCCTGTTTACGTCAACAGCTGTTCCCGCCCCGCACCCCTCTTGCTGCTCCCATCGCCTAGAATCCCTGCTCAGCAGGATTTTATATATATATATATATATATACAGTGGGTACGGAAAGTATTCAGACCCCTTTAAATGTATCACTTTGTTTCATTGCAGCCATTTGCTAAAATCAAAAAAGTTCATTTTA